AATTAATAATAGTTAACTTTTAGCCACTATCTCCTTTTAAAATATTAGATAAAATTAACATGTTTGCCCTATAATTCATCTCATTTAATGATAAAAATAATTTAATAAAATGTTATTAAAAAAATAAAATAAAACTATTTAAGAAAAATGAGAAAAATCAAAATGTCTTAACAATAAAAATATCAGAACGTTTAATTACAACCATTAAATATATGAAGTATACTATAGAGTGTTGATCCTAACTTTATCAAATTCATTATGTGCTATTATTTGATATCTTAGTATTTTTAATACCAGAAGGTTTTGATTTTCTTTTTTTCTTACTACTTAAAACTCATTTATATAATTTTCAAGTTTCATTAAAAAAAACTCATTTATATAAAGTAACTTTTTTCAAAAGCACTAAAGGATATGGTTACTTACCTCAATTAGTTAACCAAATGCCACGCCAAGATTCACCTAATTCATATTATAGAACAAACATAGCATAATCAATAACTAAAGTTATACTTTAAAACTAAGTCAAATAAACTGATAAATTAATCCTACTTTCAACTATTAATCGATCCTTTGAGCCTGCGGGATGCCTCCTAACTCCCCTAGTTAAAGCTTATTAGACCCCTGGTTATTTAATTCCCCAAATAAAATATTTGTATCATGATTTCCCAGGATTCCAATCAGCACAAAATTTCCTTGCTTGCCACCCGTAGGCTCACCTACGTCAAGAAATTAGTTATAATAATATAATTTTATCATTTTTTTTCTTAAAAAGAAGAAGGAAAAAAATAAGTAATAATTTTTTTTAAGATATTAGTATTTCTCATTTTCATTTCAAATGTTTAATTAATAATATGTTTAGTTGAGGGGAAAGGAAAAATTTTTTATCAATCAAATTGCAATATTTAAAAAAGATTACAATTTGATTAATAAAAAAAATCTTCCCTCCCCTCCTAAAATGATTTAGTTCGAAATCTGCCATTAACCTAATAATTTTTTGAGGCAAAATTTATGAACTCTTAAAAGTTTAAACTTAACTTATTAATAGTAGTTAGTTTTCATAATTATATACCAAATATACTCATAAGTCCTCATTAATGTCGGATTTGAGGTGTTACATCTACATTTTCTTAAACTCAAACATATTATAAATTTTTTTCTTTGTTTTTCATATTATAGAAATCCTTTTATTTATATAAAAAGGAAAGTATTATAAATTAATGTGTTAAAATAAATATAAAAATAAATGAAAATTGTCC